TGATACTGGTTCTAGCGGCTCATGATAATCAAATACTTAGAAATTCAACATGTTGAGTTCCCAATACGGACTCTAGTGCTAGTGAGAAATCTGTTAGTAACCATGATGCGGGGTGGGGTGGCGTGCGACGATGAGGGTGAGTGGCTACCCAACATCATATGCACAGCAGAAATTTTCAAAATCTCTGCATATATATGGCGGAAAAAATTGGAACGGATAGCCTATAGAAATTTGTGGTTCTATAGCGGAATTTGAGAACTCTGTCTTCCACTCCGTTGTACTTAGTAATGCAAGGCCTTTCAAGATCCTTTAAATGAATTCTGGAACTCACTCATCTAACGGTAGCTGAAATTATTGCAATTCCGCTATGCGTCTCTGAATTGTTAAATTCCAAGAATTAATACAACTCATATTTTGAATTTCTGAATTTTTGTATTCTTTGAATTGAGAAAAATAAGATGCGTCTCTCAGTTGTTGAATTCTTGAATTCCAAGAATTGATAAAAAGTCACATTTTCAATTTTTGTTGTATTCTTGTTGTAAATAATTGTTTTATTCTTGAGTTGAAAGAGAAAGCTTAATGTTTATTTCTGAATTCTTTCTGCTAATTCTGTATTCGTCGAATGGCTAATTCTGAATTCTTGAAATTTCAGAAATTGATAAAAACCTTGATGCTAGTTCTTGAATTCTTTCTGCTAATCTTGAAAATTTTATCGCTGTAGACTTCTATGAATTCCGCTGCCCCTTACTCTCGGTGTGACAATCTTACTATTTTCCTTACAATTCTGGGTACCACCGGAGTTGCTTTATGTATAGCGACAATTTTCGGATGACCTTAGATACATATATATGTTATCAGTAGAAAGATTCAAGCTTCAATTTACTCACAAATCTTGCTTCGTTAACAAAAGAACTTGGTTAGTATTTAGAGTTTCCGAAAAACCGGATTTCCAGAAAACCGCTCTCTGACAGCTCCTGAGCCGCCAGCACTATGCTGTTCGGATTCGCTAGATTATATGTGATCGTTGTTCTATCAACAATGATATTTGTCACGAGATACGACATACGTTTGCTGAATCTTTTTCATTCTATTAAATTATATTATATGTCTAACATGAGTCATTATACAATCGCTCACAAAATACTAAAAGGAATGACACGATTTATATGTCAGAACAGAAACGCGACCTGCGGAGTAATTCTTCTAATTGGAAAATCCACATATCTTTTCTTGCTAGGCCTATTGAAAATGATGTTATTGACAAAAATCTATTATTGTTCACCATATCTGTTAGCTATCAAGTAGCCTACTTGATATAATGCCAATATATGCTGGCTTGTACTGACCGTTGCACCCTCTGTTCACCGTTGACTAAAATTCGTAAGTTTAGTCAAGTTAAAATAGGTCGTCGTTTGGTACCAGCAGTCGTCATTATTTGGTTTGTTCTATCAATGCATATTCCTGTATTTAACACGATTCAACAACAACGATGCGTGATGCCTGCTTCTTATGGCGACCTGCGGTGTAATTCTTCTAATTGGAAAACCCATATATCTTTTCTTGCTAGGCCTATTGAAAAGGATGTTACTGACAAAAATCTATTGTTACCTCGAGATAAGAAATGCACTAATGGCATTCTTTACATGTCATTCATGCGATTCTATAATGACCCGTTTTTGATATATAACGACTATTGAAAGGATAGGAAAATTAGATTCAGCAACCTCTTATTTCATAACAAATGTCGTCCTTAACTTTATCACTAACTCTTGTTCAACAGCAGATGACTCGTTACGGCTTAACTACCATTTTGATCTTAGGTGGCATGGGGAATATTTTTAATATTCTTATATTTAGTCGGAAACAGTCAAGATCTACTTCATGTTCACTATATCTGTCAGCTGCTTCAGTTCTCAATTTATTATCATTGAGTATTGGCATTATATCAAGTGATTATGCGGTTGATCACATAAACCCAGAAACATATTGGTTGATCTATTGTAAGTTAAGACTATATTTTCTTCACGCTTCTCTAATGATGGGACGTTGTTATCTGATGCTGGCTTGTATTGATCGTTGCACCCTCTGTTCACCGTTGACTAAAATTCGTAAGTTTAGTCAAGTTAAAATAGCTCGTCGTTTGGCACCAGCAGTCGTCATTATTTGCTTTGTTATATCAATGCATATTCCTGTATTTAACACGATTCAACAACAACGATGCGTGATGCCTGCTTCTTATGGTTTGATTTATAGTATATATAGTTTGCTCGTAGCCGGCCTACTACCACCACTGACGATGGGAGTCGCCGGTATTTTAACATATAAAAATCTGCGTCATATTCGACAGCGAATTCAACCTGTAGGCATGGTTGACTCTAGCCGACTTCGAATCAGACGTCGCGATTATCAAATCATGATCATGTTAATGGTCCAAGTGATTGTCTATATTATATCAACCACGGCCTATCCTGTTAATTTATTTTATACAACATTAACAGCAAATATTGTTAAAAATGCAGATCGCCAAGCAATAGAAAAATTTCTTGGTTTTATGGCGGCAGGTTTTCTGATCTATCTTAATGCAGCTTCACCCTTTTATATCTATTATTTTACATCAGCAACATTCCGACAAGACATGAAGCGTCTTTTAACTAATTGCGGTTTAATTTTCAATATTACCATTTCGCAAACGGGAACAAATCGTCTCGATGCAACAGAAAACAACACATTATGAACAAAATTATCATTGCTAATTAAATGATTGACAACCAATTATATAACGTCAACGGTAAATGACGTCAGGCCCATAGACAGATAATTCCATCATTTGTAGGTGGATAGCTAAATCCTATAAACAAGGATAATAAAATAACAATCGTCGCTTCTAGGCATTTCACTTCTTTTAGTCGTTTGCAAGCTAACACACTCACTTGACTTCTTACACTGAACTCATATCGAAGTTTTAGAAAAGAAACTAAATACAAGAACGTTTTTCTAACGTCGAATAGCAGTTTTCTGTTAGTTAACTTCGAAGAGCATTTCCAGATTATGATAATAATCCACATAATTGTATTCCATGAAACACCACAGCTGAATCAATAGTCTAACCTATTTTCTATTTACATTCTATTTACCTATATTCTTTACATATCTTAAAATAAAATAAAAACTATAGAAGAACGAAGTGTTCTACTGGAGGTATTTGAAGAAATGCAGTAGAATCCATCGATAATCTGACGAGGGAACCTCGCCAAATGTACACACCTTTTCACCTCGAAACAGACTTGGTTATGAACATTTTTTTGTGCTGATCACGAATCTGATTTTCGTCTCAGCTCAGATTGCCTTATGAAGTGGATCGTGGAAAACCGCCCTGCACTGATGATAACGAAGTTCTTAAAGTATGGTTTTAATATGTTTTGGTAGTTACTGATAAGTGTGCGCCACTCAAAATCATTTCAACTGTAACCGGTAGATCAATCCAAAATGCCATGTAAAACGGAAAAGCAGATGTGTTTTGAAGAACAGCTTATCGATCAACCGTGATTAATAAGAGAAATTTTGCATTGGTTAATACACGTAACGTGTCACCAGGTCTGTTCTTCTTGACAATAGACGGTTATGCTTACCATAGCTGATCACATGCATTGTAAACTGACTGAAACCTGTAACTTTTTTCACGTTTCTTTTTCATGCAGAGAGAGCTGAATAAGTGAAAGGTTTTGCGTGTATCATTGTAGTTAAGTCAAAGTAAATTAGTTCTGAAAACATTTTACATAGCAAGATGAGAATTGTCTTCTCTATTCCGAAATCTAGTCGCAACTGCTTTTCAGTCGCCATTTTACACCATGAAATCGCGATTCCTTTTCCAGTCGCCATAAACTGTGACTGTTCGACCAGATTATCATGGTCCACTAAACGCGATTTTACGATCGAAATTGACGATCGATTGATTGTTTTTACTATCGATACTCTCTGACTAATTGTAGAGACATACAATTGTAGGCCGAGGAAAAACAGCCGTGTTGGAGACCAAAATGACATCTGGAAGTGACTTGTTTTATAGCGATCGTTGCAAGCATTAGTTTCTAAAGAAATGTTGACATCTCCCATGAGGGTAATTTTTGTTGAAAACTTGCGATATATCGAGATATTATGCTAAATGGGCTGAAATATCGAGATAATGAGCAGCTCTGTCGCGATATAAAAGTGAGTGCAGTTTATCGCAGTCTCTCGATAAAATACAGTAGGCAAGACTATCGCAGTATACCAGTCATTTAGCGTTGTAAATACCAGTATGTCAATAAACCGCGATTAATATTTATCGGACTTTATCCTGATAAAAGTACTATCGTTATATGTGTGATCTTTATCTCCAAAAGCAAAAGTATCGCGATAAACTCCAACAGATTTTTTGACAATAGACGGTTATGCTTACCATAGCTGATCACATGCATTGTAAACTGACTGAAACCTGTAACTTTTTTCACGTTTCTTTTTCATGCAGAGAGAGCTGAATAAGTGAAAGGTTTTGCGTGTATCATTGTAGTTAAGTCAAAGTAAATTAGTTCTGAAAACATTTTACATAGCAAGATGAGAATTGTCTTCTCTATTCCGAAATCTAGTCGCAACTGCTTTTCAGTCGCCATTTTACACCATGAAATCGCGATTCCTTTTCCAGTCGCCATAAACTGTGACTGTTCGACCAGATTATCATGGTCCACTAAACGCGATTTTACGATCGAAATTGACGATCGATTGATTGTTTTTACTATCGATACTCTCTGACTAATTGTAGAGACATACAATTGTAGGCCGAGGAAAAACAGCCGTGTTGGAGACCAAAATGACATCTGGAAGTGACTTGTTTTATAGCGATCGTTGCAAGCATTAGTTTCTAAAGAAATGTTGACATCTCCCATGAGGGTAATTTTTGTTGAAAACTTGCGATATATCGAGATATTATGCTAAATGGGCTGAAATATCGAGATAATGAGCAGCTCTGTCGCGATATAAAAGTGAGTGCAGTTTATCGCAGTCTCTCGATAAAATACAGTAGGCAAGACTATCGCAGTATACCAGTCATTTAGCGTTGTAAATACCAGTATGTCAATAAACCGCGATTAATATTTATCGGACTTTATCCTGATAAAAGTACTATCGTTATATGTGTGATCTTTATCTCCAAAAGCAAAAGTATCGCGATAAACTCCAACAGATTTTTATCGAGTATTATCGTGATAAAAAGGGTCATCTCGACAAGAAGCTAAAAGTATCGCGATTAAATTTTTATCCCGATGAATGAGGAGATTAATTTTCCCGTGTTTCGTCTCGATATGAAAGAACATATATGTTGGTCATGGGTATATTGTGTTTCGGTATGTTTCCTCTTTGTCAGAGATTCTCGTTCCCTCTTTTTGAACAAGAAAATTTCTGCTGCAGTTTGAATTGGTAGTATACTCCATTTCTCTTCGAATTTGTTTTCTCGCGTCCAGCTAATGCAACACTTTGATCGATGTGGTAATTATTATGAACGTCCAATCATATAATGATTTTCACCTATCTTAGTGCCTTGAACACTCTGTTAGTCGTTTTTCTGCCATAACGAAAAAGTTTGTATTGTTCAAAAACATACCACTGGATAGCCCTTGAAATTCTCTACAAAGTAAGCTGGTCACAATATCCAGAAAGATGGGGCCAGTCATTAAAGATATGGAAAAGAAGCTTTTGGGTGTTATCTAAGCAGTACAGTGTGTCATAACCACAAGAACTCCCTTGTTTTTGACTTTTTAGTAAAAGCTG